TGCAACCACCGCCTGTGGACCACCACCACCAACCGCCTCCACCCCCACAGCCGCCACACTACAGCATAAATCCACCCCCGCTAGCCTCACCTATTTGCTAAGCACGCCTGTCAATCAGCGCACGACAGAGTGAAGTTCCCGGAGTCATTACGCACGAAGATTAGATCGGCTCGTCGTGGACGCAAAGCGGATGGACTGAGTGCCAAATAACTTTGCCATGACGCAGGAGACGAAAATTAAACCACTAGTAACCCTGAACCACCATCCTTCCCATAGTTGCCATATGGTTAGGTTTCTTTAAGCCTCAGGGCTTAATGCACTGAACTACGTTTCTCTTACGTCACACCCATAGAATTTGTAAACCAGTGACTTTATTTACAATTAATAAATTGCCCATAAATTATTAAATCAAATTCTTTAGCTGCATTTACGTTAGAAGAAACACAAAGCTGTCCCAGTGCTGAAGCATCATTCCATAAAGACGAATAGGGGTACCAGCTGGAGGGGAATGGTCAGCTTCACGCTCCGGCCGTCTTATCTCAAGGGTAGGTGCTTAACACGGCTCATTTTGCTCTGTATGCCACGCCAGCATTTCACCGCGAAAGCCTGGGTTTAACTCCGATTTCTTCGGTTTTCTCCTGGCATATCCTTCCACCACTGCTCTATATTCACTCATATAATCTGGGGGATGGACAAGAGGTCCCATTAGCGACCCATTTCCACAGTCATAGTCTCACCCCATCGCAAATATAACAGATAATTTTAGTTGCGGTCAGAAGAATACATTGCAATTGTAACGAGCGTTTAAGATTTCATAAAGGCAAATCTCACAAGAGATGGTGGAAGGACAACAAATAAATCAAACAGAATTTGGTTGTATTGTAGAAATTCTGGATTTCATAGCGAAGTAAATATAAATAGTGGTCTTCTGGGTTATTTCGCCGGACATTATGCTTCTCCAAAATGTTGGCACATATCGAAAATATTGCCCAGCGCAACAACCCAGAAGACTATCAAATATACTGGATATTTTGTTTGCGCTGGGAGGTCAACAGCCATTTGCAATGTCACGTTCAATACTATGGTTTCTCAGAATTTTGTGCAAGCCAAATACTAACAGAATTGTTATGGCGTCTTGGGCATTGTACATTGTCTAATGTAGCCTGTACCTGAGCTGTCAAATTCCGAAACGTTTTATATATATATATATATAATACTATCGTATTGGCAAATGTATATTGAATGGTGTTCAATTTCTGATCCATGTGGCCCACTGTATGCGCAGAAGGACACGTGACTTATCCGGGAAATCCCAGGAACTTGTTCCATTAGTTTAGAGAGCAGCGCCAGATGTCACCCTGAAACACTTGCGAGTGTGTACATAGTTTCTCGTTGCTGTATAATAGAGTTTTATAAGATACTTTGCAAATGGAATATACAAACGGCATGTAAATACATTTTGTAGAAATAAGTCGTCAATGATTCAATTTACATTTATTTTTTGAATGACAGTTTTAGAAAAGTTAACAATTTTCCGCTGACATCAATTTTATTTCTTTCCGAAAATGAATGGAATATTGAATCATGCTTAGAGTATAAATGAGTATCTGTATAAATATGTACATTGAAATTAATATAATTTAAGTGAAGATGTCACACTTAAAAGCAAACAGCACGACATGTACAGAAACTGCCCGTATTTCTCAGTGTAGATGTTTTAGAGTGTGAAGCTTGTAAACTTTCAGTATGTTTATGAGTAATCAAGTGATTGGACTTTGTAAATACATAGGCTACAAGCACTTCAGTATGACAGGAAGGAAATATTAAAAAACTTGCCGCATCATAGCAAAGAGAAGAATTTCTTAGTATGACTTCACCAAAGTTATGCACCCAAATTTGTTCTACTCGATTCTAAGCAATTCAACAAAACTTGCAATAGATAAAATAAAAGCTACTATAGAATTATTAACGCAAAGTGATTTCCCATAATCCCGCATGTGAGACGTATGTCCGTGTGTAAATCCTCTGTTCCCTGATAACCTGAGTTCAATTCCTTAGTCGTTTTCATGGCCACAAACTTCGAATTTGTATGTAGAGAATCCTCCCAAGTACATAAGATTCTTTATCTCAGAATTTGTTTTGAATTGGGTGAGGATAATATGTCTACAGCGTGATAGGTAAAGAAAACTTTATCTGCATATAAATGGAAATAGAATGGATAAATACACGAGCTTATTGTATATCTTTAAAAAATCATACAATTCAGTTATATTAAACACTACACGAGACCTTAACTAAGTGTGGAACACCCAAGAAACTTTTTCGGTTAATTAAAATATACGGAATGATGTAAGTAGTAGAGTTTGCATGATAAATTCTTATCTCTTGATTTTATAACTTACTTTACAATAGACTTAAACAATTAATGCTTCATAATTACGGAAATTAGGAAAAGGTCTAACTTTTATAAATTTAAGATAGATAATTTTTCAAAATTCAAGTGGGTTCAGTGCAAAGAAAGAGAAGGAACACGTGCCTTAGCAGAAGAAAATCTAATACGTGAAATGCCTTACGGAATGTGTAGGCATTTTTTTTTTCAACTGCGCATAACTCAATGACTTCGAAGTTCGTCTGTTGTGCAAATAAGCCTATAGATTGAAAAGTTAATATGCAGCACCGTACTGAAATACATAAATTATTTTTCAAGAACTTTCAGGCCGAAACTGCTGAATATATGAAAATAGTACTGAAGGTTCGAATTTAAATTTAAATATTTGACTCAAGTGGTTACTTCCAAACATTCTCTTTGCCACTTGGTCTTAAAACATCGACGCATGGTCTTCCTCAGGATGACACACGACGTGCCTTGCTTCTTGGTTCCCGTTGAACATCCTTTCTGAGCGCATACGTCACTCGAACCGACTGTATGGCAAAACACACGTGAACCTATTGCGGTCGTATTAAGGTTCTCTGATTGCAGCCTAGAGATCTAGGCGAGACGGCCCGTCCTGTACTTTTACTACCGCCGATGATTAAACGAAGAGGGACAAGTTCACGACGAACACAAACAAGCGGGACACAGTCTGATCTATTTTGTTGGAGAAAAAGCGGAATACGTATAGGAAAGTTGTCATAAAATGGGATACCATTTGTACATTGTAGAAAGTAAGCATTTCTTGTAAAAAAATTTAATTTTAAGAAATGTTACAATATGCTATATCTTCACAATATTTGAAATGTAATGCCAAATTTATTTTTTTTAAGACAGATAGAAACATCCATCCAATGAAAAATTGGTAATTAATTTTGAATAGCACCATAAACAAAACGTTTTCCTAATGCAGAACTCGACGCCAGTTTAAATTGAGAAAAAGCGCAATATTGATGTTTTCTAATCACCTTATTTGCAAAGCATAATCACATGCACTCGAACATTCTGTACAATACAAAAGGGTCTCGCTCAAG